TGTCAGTCCCAAATCCGGATAAATGGAGGGTTGGGTATGGGGTTAGCGACCCTATCCCGTAGAAAATTAAGTCGCTAAAAAACGCTAACCAGAAAATTATTCCACGGTGGTCTAATTCAATGAACTCATGAATTCAACTATTTATATATGAAATATATTCCTATAATAATATAAGTAGTATATAAAATTTCATGACAATCTGTTTAGAATAAAATTTAAAAAAAGAAAAAGAAAAAGAAAAAGAATCGAAAAAAAAACGATCCTATAAATAAACAAAATGAAATTTTGTTTAAATGTTTCATATCTTTGTTGTTATAGAGTTTGTTTAAATAGAATTAAACATTTTGGCGGGTTTCTCTCTCCTCCCTCTCTCTCTCGTGCGCGCGCGCGCGCTATTCACAACCTTTTTTTTAATATTCACCATATGTTTTATATTAAATATTGAAATATCGAAATTTCAAAAGAATATTTATGTTGTATCAATGATGAAATGGTATCCATTTTTGAAGGGTGGAGGGGTAAACAAAAAACAAAAAAGAACACAAAAACCAAAAGAAAAAAAAAGCGATTACTTTTGATTGTTACATAATTGACAAAATTTTGTTACATTATTTCTACTAATAAGAGAGTTATAACTAATAACTGTGAATGATAATGAGATAAAGTTTATAAATACAAGCCGATTTGGTGATCACATATTTATTATAGTAGTTAAGATCATGAGTTAATTGAAGTGAGATCACTGTGGGAAACTTTGAAGTGCTGGATAGCTGATTCGTCCTCTTGTGAGACTCCTCAATAGTAGTACGTATCCTGCCTCATGAGATTTCAACTTAGGATATATCAGTCTCGTGCGCGAGCGCTTAACCTCTAGACACCACTGAGCTGGCCGTTATGCAAATAATCCAAGAAATTGAGCAACACATCTACCATTGTCATCAATGAGTTACTATCTCACAGCATATCCAGTTAAACTCCATTAGTCACTGATACTCATCAGAACTTCAGCAAATACCTCATGGAGACCATCACTATTGAGCATATACTGATTATTATCAGAAAGGTTATTTTGTGAATATTATAGTAATTTCAATAGTTGAGATCATGAGTCAATTGAAGCTAGACAACCATGGAAAACTTCAAAGTACTAGACGACCGTTTCGTCCTACTGTGAGACTCCTCAGAGGCAGTGGACATCCATGATCCCGCCTCATGAGATTTGAATCCAGGAGTTGTCGATTTCGCACGAGCGCTTAACCTCTAGTCTACTGAGCTAGCCATTATTCAACTAATCCACGAAATTGTGTGACAGATCCACCTTTGATTTACTATCTTACAACAGACCCGGTTGACTGTGTATATATTTATGGTGAATGGTTATATGATCCGCTTAAAGGATATTAATATCAATCCCAAATTCATTAGTGATAGTGTGTTTTGTGCTACTGATATCTTCAGATATAAGTAGTGTATATCATTGATTGAAAGTGAAACACCTAGTGGAAGTTGGTTCAGAAGTTCGAAGAGAAGAGAACGAGAGCAGAGGATGATTGTTATGGAAACGAAAGAACAATTAAGTTTGTAATATTAAGCGGCATAGATTCAAATCTAATAATCTACTGTAATCATTTTATAATTATAGATATATGTTGATAATATGTGTAAAGTTGTCTGAAACCTAAATTCACAACTCCAGACCATCACCTAACAATTAATTTATTAAACCGATTAGACGAACATTATAAACAAAGATGGATAGTGGTTAACAGTGGAATCCAGTTTGACACGTGTTTCATCCTAGATGTACCTGCATCTCAGAGTTGATGCTCAGTCCAGGACTCGAATCCAATATTGTTCGCATCAAACACCATCATGTTATCCACTTAGCTAGTGAGTCCTGATAGCCACTTGCTTGTTTAATGGCATAAAGGTAGACTAACACTAGCAAATTAAATAATTGTAACCGTCTAACTAAATATGAACTCTGTTCATTATAAGAAATAAACTCTAACAGTTGCTATGGCAACTAAATATTTCTAAGAAAACACAAATAACAAATTCATATATGACATTGGTAAACTTTAAATCAACATTAGTACTATTCAGACACCCTATTAATATTTTGTATTTTATTTATGTAATACATTTAAGAATCCAGGTCATAAGTTAAATTGAATGGGTTTATTGAATATACGAAGAGAGAATTTTACAGAATTCTACAGAGTAATATTCATATTCATGTGGGAATGGTGAGACATCAGAGTTTGTATGGCAAATAGAAGAAGTATTGAATAGTGAATGTAGGGTTTCATTGTAAACGAAGTGATTTAGACCGCTGTCAGAAGAATATGGGCACTTGCACTGGTTATGAAAAGATAGTTCTTCTTGAAGTCCTTGAAAAGGAAACTTGTCAAAGGATGGTCTTAACGACTTAGAAGTGTGATCGCATCGAGTAAAAAAACAAATGTTTATCGCCAGATGCACACAATTCGTTTGTAAATGGTTTCAGATGAGTTGACGTGGCACTTTTAAAGCATTATCTCCTAGGAATGGAAACTTGTTCAGCTAAGTTTGATCATTTTCTAAACCCTTTCTTTCTTTATAGAAAGGTACTATTACTACAGATGTTGATTGTCGAAGAGAAACACCTTACTGTACAGTAGATAATACAACCTCGCCATTGAGCTATGAGTTTGCCGTTTATAATTTCAGAAGTCCACTAGCTTTACGATGAATTTCCTTCAGTTCTAATGAGATGTCGTGATCACTGGAGTTCAGCCGTGTCTGGTATGAAGCAGTTACTCATTGAAGACAACGGAGGACGAACGCGCGATATTGTGGATTGGTTGAAGTTAGACATTAGCACTGCTGGATGCCGGATCAGTGGTCTAGAGGTTAAGCGTTCGCACTTGAGACCGTCAGGTACTGGATTTGAATCTCATCAGGCAGGATCGTGCATGAGCACTGACACTGAGGAGTCCTAGAATGGGACGAAACAGCCGTCCAGTACTTTCACGTTTCCCATGGTGATCTAGCTTCAGTTGACTCACGAATTTAACTACTGAAATTATTAGAATATCTACAAAAACCCTTTTCTGATATTAAAAGAAAAATGTTAAGTAATGGGTTAACAACCCCTGTTCCGTAAGAAATAATATTTTTGTGATTGGCATCATGAATCGATTGATATTAAACCATCATTGAAAACCTGGAAGCACTGGACGACCGTTTTGTCCTAGCAATGCGTACCCATAACCCGACCCTCAGGATTTGAACCCGGGACCTACGGTGTACGCGCACGAACGCCCAACATGTAGACCATCGAGCTAGCATCTAAGGTATCAGTTTACCCCCATCCCCCCCCAAATATTGTCTTGTAATTTTAATAGAAAAAAAAGGACAATCCAATCAATTCATACCTGATTAGCATCTAAACCCCAAAATTCTAATTCTTCTTCAAATAATGGTCCACATACATCAACAGGATAATGAAGTTTACCAGTACGATAATAATTTAATATTTGTGAAAATACACCTGGATGACGATCATAAAAATATTCATTTAATACAGGATCATAATTAGCTAATGCTTCAGTTAATTTAGATAAACGTGTTGCTGGTATCTTTTTCAATGTAGCTTTATAAGTTTCATGACGAATACCGCCAACATTTAGAATAACACGATTTTCAGAATCCATTTTTTTTTACTTTAATGTTTAATCTGAAAGAAATGAAGAAAAAAGGAGTGAATACTATACATTCAATAGTTTAGCAGCAAAAAATGTCAATCAATCATCTTAGACTTGATTGTTTTCACGTTGACATATCAAACATTCATTGTTCTCGTTGTCTTCTGATCGATCTTCTTAAACTTCTACCGTTACCAGTGGAGTTCAACCAGGTCTGTTGTGAGATATCAGCTCACTGAAGACAATGGTGTACAGTGGCTCAACTTTGTGAATTGGTTGAAGTTAGACATCAAGACCGTTGGATGCCGGCTCAGTAGTCCAGTTGGTTAAGCGCTTGGTGCGAGATTGATAGATCCTGGGTTCGAATCTCGCGGGGTGAGGAATCGTGGGTGCGCACCACTGAGGAGTCCCATATTAGGACGAAACCGCCGTCCGATGCTTTCAGGTTTTCCATGATGGTCTAGCTTCAATTGACTCATGATTAAACTTCTACCGCCAGACATTTCATTTTCGATTGATGATACATACTACTTATATCCGTCAATATCAGTAGCATACATCACTGGATAACCAAATGTAACAGGATCTAGAACTACAGAGTTATATGATGAATGGTGGATACCATACATTTAATACTTCATTTGTAGAATGTACATCAATTGTCTTAGACTTTGTTGTTCATTCATCTTCATATCAATCACTCTCTATTCTCATTCTCTTATCCTCAATTTTCTGCTGTCAGGCATTCTTCCATTTTCGATTGATGTTACATACTACTTATATCTGTTGCCATGAGTAGTATACATCACATGATCAGTATTGTAAACATTCTTGGAATATTATTTAGTTAAAAGATATTTTCACAGATTGAATTTAGACTATTCAATAGTAAGATTTATCAGTATGAATAGCTTATTTTTCAGAATAGATTTTAATCATTTAACTGATGGTTTTAAACTAGGATGGGAATGAGACAAGTGTCACCGACGTCAACAATGATTATTTCCTGATATTTTATACTGATTGGCATAGTGTTAATAGTGTACAAGTGCAAGTACTGACCGAGCCCAACAATGCTTAACTAGAACCATCAAGGCCAAAGGAGAAGAGGAACATCAAAGAAATGAAAACATACATGAGAAGAATGAACAATAATTGGATAGAACTAGAAAGAAAAGCTTAGAACAGAGGAGGTTGGAGAATGCTGATCGGTGGACTATGCTCTAGTTGGAGCAACAGGTGTAGGTAAATAAGTAAGTTAGAGTAAAGTGAGAAGTGAATCTTCTGATTTCGATCTAATAGAAGGTGATGGGTGTAAACTTCTATGTAATACTATAATAGGATGAATTAACTGTCTAGTGCGTGCTTTTTTGCAGCCTCAGCAGCAGTAGGTCTCAATATACACGAATGGAAAAGCAAGATTCTGCGATACAACACAGAATGCACCAATCCAATCACAATTGACAGAGAAGATATGGAAGATGTAAAAACCTTTACATATTTGGGCAGCATCATTGATGAACATGGTGGATCTGATGCAGATGTGAAGGCGCGGATCGGCAAAGCAAGAGAAGCATATTTACAACTGAGGAACATCTGGAACTCAAAACAACTGTCAACCAACGCTAAGCTCAGGATTTTCAATACAAATGTCAAGACAGTTATACTGTATGGGGCAGAAACCTGGAGAACGACGAAAGCCATCATCCAGAAAATACAGGTGTTTATTAACAATTGTCTACGCAAAATACTTCAGATCCATTGGCCGGAAACTATTAGCAACAACGTACGGTGGGAGAGAACAAACCAGATCCCAGTGGAGGAAGAAATCAGGAAGAACAGTTGGAAGTGGATAGGACACACATTGAGGAAAGCACCCAACTGTGTCATAAGGCAAGCCCTGACATAGCATCCTAAAGGCCAAATGAAAAGAGGAAGATCAAAGAACACAATACGCCGGGAAATGGAGATGGACATGAGAAAAATGAACAAGAATTGGCTGGAACTGGAGAGGAAGGCCCAGGACAGAGTGTGTTGGAGAATGCTGGTCAGCGGCCTATGCTCCATTGGGAGTAACAGGCGGAAGAAGGAAGAAGAAGAAGAAGCGTGCTTTTTATTGATGGTCGCTCAGGTTAAGTCGGTCAGTTAATTCAACCATTAAATTTATCATTTTTCATAAAAAACTTTCTTTATGGATTAAAAAATAGAGTGAAAGTTATGTAATTGGACAAGGATTTTCAGAAACCATTGGAATCCTGTCATAACTTTTAGCATGTGTGCCCTATTAATGTATAACGTAACGATACCGCTAATGAGAGGGTAGTGAATTATCGATCGGATCAATGACGCGTAAACCCGTATGAGCAGTCTAGATTCCTTATCTGCTCTTCTCCCTGCCTGTTAAGTCCAGAACACCAAGTTCAACCTCTGCGATATGTATCATTTATTCCAAACATACTGAGTTTATATACCAACTAAACAGACCACATCGTACCAATAAAATAGGAAACAACATTTATATAAGATTTGGCCAAATGTGGCTGTGAATGTGGGAGATCGTAATCGATAGTCAGGGCATAATTCAAGAATGGTAAGTGGTATAATAATAGTTCATAGGTCAAAATAGAGCTTATAATAAGAGGAACATGAATATGAACAGTTTAGTTACATAGCAATTATACGACAAAAATATACGTACAGTACTGATCCATAAATGGATCCTAAAAGTTACCATTCATTATGCTTATCGGAACATAATAAATCCAAACATCAATAGGAAGTTATTTCATTATAGTGTGATATTTATTAACAATGAAGATTCATGATTTCTTGTAAGATTGAATTTGATGCAGTCGAGTCACTTACAGTGACTTTAAACGATTAAGTTGGAATGTAGTTGCTAGCAATTTAGTATTTATCATTTCACATATAATGAATTATCCTTGGTTAGAAAACTATCAAAGACTAGTAAGCATTGAACAGATAGTACTCGTCAGTAGTGGGTACCAACGAACTCATATGAGGGAACCGAACCCAGGAATTTCGATGTCATGCTCGATCGTTTAAGCTCTAGACAACTTACCTGGTATCCAACAGTATTAATGTCTAATCTTATCCTATAAGATTCTGATATAGGCACTCTAGTTGGTTATTTGTAATTGATGCATTAGTCACCTAATACGAGAACTAAGTTATTCATTATTCACTGAGTAGATCTTTTTACAGCTAATCTTGTCTTTATCTATTCAGTTTCTATATTCAAGTGATTCATTGACTGGCTTATACAAGCGTTTGAAATATACATATCCTAATTGTAACTTGCACTCGACTTTTCATTATGCGTAAAAATGAATAGTGGCCAGCAGTGGAATCTCGGATGAGCATTTCGTCCTATTTCATACTCGTCAACTGGATGTATCTTTAACTCAGAGTTGATGTTCACTCTGGGACTCGAATCCAGTACCGCACTCCTCAAACATTGTCGCGTTATCTAGCTGACAAGTCCCTGGATTCAACTACTAGCCACTATTCATCTTTACTTATAATGCTTGTGAATTAAGGCAATATCGAGGCAATTCACATAGGAAGCACATATGCCAATAAGAGACTGATTAATTGTAGTCCTAAATATCATCATCAGGATGATTCAAGTAAATAATACCAAATGAATTTAAACTTGACAACATTGCACAAGCAAGTGGGTATCCGGATATAGTAGCTTAGTGAATAACGCGATGGCATTTGGAGTGAATAGTATTACGTTCGAGTCCCAGAGTGAACATCAACTCTGATATGCAGGTACATCCTAAACGAAACTCGCGTCCTAGATTCAACTTCTCCTCACTATTCATCATTGCTTATAATGCATGTGACTTAAGGCAATATTGAGGACGGTCGTACAGGATAGACATATGCCATCGAGAGAATGGTCAGTCCTTATCATCAGTGAGGAAGATTCAAGTAAACAACAATATCAAATGATTACTAGTATAGGGGTTGTGGAGATTATTAGGTTTTTGATTGAGATCATGAACCGATTGATGTGGATTTTTTTATGTTAGACACTATCCCCATTGGGTGCTGGCTCAGTGGTCCAGTAGGTCAAGCGTTTGCGCACGAAACCGAAGGCCCTAAGTTCGAATCATGCAAGCGGGATCGAGGATGCGCACTGCTGAGGAGTCCCACAATAGGACGAAACGGCCGTCCAGTACTTCCAGGTTTCCAAAAGGTGGTCTTACATCAATCAGTTCATGATCTCAATCAAATACTAGATGAATTGAAGTCTTTCATTTCCTCACTTTTTTTTCAAAAACAATATTATGATTACACATATAGGAAAAAGTTATCTTCCTTTATGTACATATTGAATTAAGTCAATATTTATTGAAGTATGTATTTACATTCAAATCACCATTATACAAAACCCTAACCTGCTACTCACTACACAAACATACATATTGATTGTACAAGTTTCTTTTTTATCTTGTTTAATCAACATTGGATCCACCTTGAAAAAATGTCTATTCATAAATAGTAATATAGTGAATAAGAACACAAATGGGAACAATCGAATGTACCGGAATATACCATAACAGAATCTTTTAGTAAATTCTTAGTATCATACAGTAAATACTTCAATCTCCTTTCATTTCTCCATCAATTACTGTCTATTCTCATTCACTTTCCTTTCGATATTCTTATATTTTTACTACAAAACATTTAATTTTTCGATGAATGATACATATTACTTATATCTAACGATATCAGTAGTATATACCACAGTATGTCTACAAACAATATATTACTTCTTATTTAAATAGGATACACTTTGATGTATCTTTTTACATACAAAATCACTTCATTTCCGTTTTGTTAATCCGTGAAATCCCTTTTTTTCCTCTTTTTTTCTTTTTCTCGTTTTTCTTTTCCTTTATTTGTTTACACGTTCTATTGACATTGAGTTATGTAAGTAAACGTATTTTTGTTTTTGTGTTTAGAGATTAAAACAT